TAAACTTTGAAAAACGGTTTGGGGCTTGTTAGAAAGAGCAAATCCTGTACTTTCACCCCATGAAAAAAGTGCATCACAGAAATGAAAATGAAGTGAGTTATGGTCGCTGAAAGCCCAAAAACTCGCTTTTGCACGAAAAATGTTCGAACGGGACAATTTTTTGAAAAAGGGGACAATCACTAAACTTTTTATACTGTTTTGTTAGAGAAATATTTGAAGTTTCTGAAACTTTTTACAGATTTCCAAAATGTCGCATACGAAAGATTTTATGGGCCTTCAAAGTTGAAGGTGCGCCTTCTTAGAATTTTGGGTTTTCCACTTCTAACAGAAGTACTTTCCGGAGAGTTAGGCAATCCTTGTAGTTTTCTGAAAGCGCACCTCAGGCACAATCAAAATCTACCTCAACAAGTCAAAAAAATACGTCCCAAGAAAGTTATTCCCCTCTAAAATTTTTTCTTCGCCGCGTCCCGTTCTTCCAGCGCCCGGGTGATACCTGCCGCGCTCCAAGGCTGACGCGCAATGCAGACGCTGTCTGCGGCGGCACAGACGCTTTCTGGCGCAACGGATTCATGTCTAGCACTCTTATTAACAAAAACAGGGGGTCGCAAAAATCCCGAAAATGTTCGAACGTGACGGTTGACCCTGGTTGTGACGCGCCTGCAGCTGTGCAAGATTACAGCACGCACATGCGCTTCGTATACTACCGAGACTATCCGCACCCCTCGCAGCACCTTGTTGTTGAAAACTCCGCTAATACTTGGTGTTTTCCTGAAAGCACAAAAAGTGTGCTTAATGAATGCTGCATTTCATTTTCGTTTTCATTTCAAATTTCATGCATTGACAACCCTAACGAGAACTTCTTTTTAGTGCCCACTCTATTTCCGTCATGCCTGAGTACGGTATACACATTGCAAAAAAGATACATGAAAACTTTGGGAACCATCAACGAGAGTGTAACATTACATCACGTCACACGTTCACACGCGGGCGAAAGAGTGCGCCACGACTTCCAACGGTCATCAGTGCACCGTAGTTGGCCACATCGCTTTTATTTGCTTTCTTTTTCCTTGTACGTTCCTCTGGACTCACTTGTTTCTTGGTCCTACTTCTTCTGCTTTTTTTTACCACGGAATTTATGATTAGTCTTGCATGCAAAATGTTTAGCATGCATATGAAAGCAAATTTCTGGCTAAGACCCGCTTTACAAGCCCTTACAGTACTAGAAGCACTAACTGTAAGTACGCAAATGCAGAGGCTGCGCCACCTTACTTCATCGGAACGCGTCACTAAGACCTAGGCGCCATGGACTTCTAACAGACTCCACCAAACTTAACATGGTCCGCCCACCGTTCGATATCTTGTCTGCGTCGCTACGTTGATCTGCTATGCTCTCTCTTCTCGGACTTCTCTACCGCTCTCCGCGCTCACATTATCTCTCATCTCCCTGCCTGCCTTTTGAACTTCTCCACAGCGTAGAGCAAAAAGCTCGTATTTCCTGTGTATTTCACAATTTTTTTTTTTCATCACATGTAGTCCACCTCCCATCCCTACTTTCATATTCGAGTGGTATGATCACATCCACTTAATCCTGATTCTTGCCCTC